ATCAAAATTTACAAAAAAAAAAAAAGCTTAATATTTATTTGTTTACTTTATTAAACATTTCTTTCAATGTAAGTTGTTTAAGTTGCTTCGTTTTTTATGTGATAATACATTCTCTTTAATTCTATAAACAGACATAATTTCTTGTTCAGTTACAAAGTTCCGCTGTTCGAGTCCTATAATTTGCTGTGTCAAGAATACCGACTAATTTGTCAATCGAAATTTTTTCGTTTTCAATAACCTCTGTCACTTCGCTATCGGAAGCGAATTATAATGACAAGGAACTTGATTTAAATCATATCAAAGACGGAGTACATCGAGATGAAATACTACATTTAGTAAGGAATTATAAGCCAAATAAAATAAAAACATCTGCTCTGAAGATAAGGATAGTGCTGACAGATCAACTTCCAATTCATTGCGCGCCGCAGTGTTAAAGATAAACAAAGGATATGCCTTTATCCATTTTTTGCAGCAATTCCACTTTTTGTTTAATGGACTTCGAAACATACTTTCGCTTTGTAGATCCTTTACATATTAGTATATATATATCAGAAATTCTATTTGACATAATCGAAAGTCACTGGCAGCGAATGTGTTAAGTGAATTTAAGTCAGCTTTTAAATCTCTTAAAATCATGGTGTCATTCAGAAAACTGTTAAGTTTTCACATAAAAATTTCCTAATTTTTCCTACTTCAAGGTTGGTAGCTATGCTATGATATTACTTTTCTGCAGACTTTTGAACACATGGTATAACAACTAGAAATCCAGTATTTTTAATAGTGTTACTGAAAATAATTTCAGGGTTGCCACTCAAACACTAGAATGAAATTCCCTGACTTTTCCAGGTATGTTTCGAGAAAATTCTAGTCTATCCGCGTAATGTACGTTGGCTGTGCTAAGAGGTAAATTAATTATGGTATTACTTGTATTGTGTAGCAAATTCACTTAATTATTCCATAAATTCCAGCGGACATTTATTCTTAATTATTCTTGGTACACTTTGTTTGATAATTTTGTTTACTTTTCCACTTAAGAAACTTGATAAAATTTAAGATATATACATTGGATAACAAATGTACGTTTTATTTAATTATTACTCATGATCATCACCAGTTCAACACAAGGCTAATCTGGTTCTTATAAATCACAACGTAATGCTAAATAGTTAGGTTAGATTTTAGGTAAATTTAATTTGTGTGAGGTGTCTTTTTAAAAGACAACACTTGAAAACACAAATATAATTATAATAGGAGTTGTTTTCTCCACTAAAGATTGAGATTAGAATCTGCCCAATATGGAATAAAATAAGGCTTTTTTTTTTTGCAGACATTCTACAGCTAAACGAAAGAAAGAAATCTATTTAATGATATTTTTTTAATAAATTGAGGTATTTATATTTATTTCGCAGTATACATAAGGAAAAAATAAGTGCATTAAATTTCATGATGGTATGTCATCATACTGCTAGAATTAATTTCAGGATTGTGCCAGAGAAAATTTCCTAAAATTTGGAAATATTATTTACTAATGATAAACAAATTTAGAGGAGAAGAAGCAACATTAAATGATACGGAAAATAACATAAAAATAAAGATTAACTTAAAAATTGAATTAGAATAATCAAGGATATTTTAGCGAATATAATTATATTACATGGATAGCCTAGATGACTGATTACTATTTTTTATTTTACTGCAAAATGACAAGGTATTTATCAAAAAGAAAAGAAAAAAAAGGTTTAAAAAGATTTTGCGGTAAAATCCTAGTATACGTTATTACGGCCTTCGCACGATTTTGAAAATTGTCGCCAAGAACAAAATGAGCCGTTTACTGCTCATCATCATGTCGCCAAATCCCGCTGTACCATACATGGAGATTATTCTAACCAAGTAAAGTAGAAAAGGTTTCATACACGTAAATGCTATTACGCCGCTAGAAAGCGGAGGGAAAATTTGCCAAGGGATTTGGCGACGTAACCTGGTGGGCAGAATTTCCCTCTCCGCGATGTGTACAGGAAATTGAGAAACACGTGTTAAGAAGAAACGTTCTTTGACAAAAAAGAAAACTACGAAAATGCGTTTTTAAATTACTGCAAAAAATCCAAGATGAAACGTTTTATCAAAGAACGTTTTTTCTTGGATTTTTCGCAAAAATTTTAAAAATGGATTTTCGTATTTTTTTACCTCAAAATAACTAATCCATGAATTAATTTACTTGCACCAAAAAATATTTTCTTTTCCTTTAGAGTTTAAAGAAATTTTAAACGATATTCATTTTATGAACTCTTGATAACGTGACCTTCGGATTTCGACACCAGTTTCGAGCTTTGGCGACAGATATATCGCGCATGCACAGCTGTTTCCCTCTATGATGGAACGGAGGCACGTCTGTGGCAGAGAGGTTTTCCTTCTTTATAATACATATTCTTTGATTCTAACCTTCATGTACCGTATACTAGGATTAAACCCATTTTGTTTTATACGAGAACAGGTACTTTCTTTAGTTCATGCACTGCACATGCGATTCTCGAGGTTACTGGAAACCAAACGTTGCGGGAAACTTGCTTTGCCTTTCTAAAAGACAATCAATTTGGATCTATGCCAGCTGCCCGAATGACACTCACGTGATACACAATTCACCAAAAAAGTGATCTCTTCCGACGTCGGCTCAAAACTCGCCTTTTTTGGCGGGATCATTGTATGAAATTCCCTGACTTTGACTAAAGATTGTCCAGATTTTGACTAAAACACTTAAATTCCCTGAATTTTTTGGTCAATTTCCGAATTCCCTAACTTTTTCCGGTTTTCCAGGTAGCGTGGCAACCCTGTAATTTTGATAATTCTATTTTCTGCATCAAATTCTAAGGAGAATACACCTTTCTGTATTCTGTAGTGACCATATTATATGCTCTTTATATTTTGCTGAAAAAGGATATGCAAGAAATAGCACTTTAAAAAGTTGAAATACACTCATGTCCATAAATTAAGGATAAATCGGAGTCACGCGAAAATCGAACTCTAAAATAAATGCATCACCTGTAAATCACTACACACATCTTCAAGAATCATACGCAAATTTCAGGAAGTAACCAGATGACACCGAAGGTACGTCACAATGACGAGAGTGATATATAAGGAATACAGGCAAAGAAGTAAAATTGTTCGCAGGTGCTTTATAAGCATTTCAGTGCAATAACCGAATAGTTATGACACAAAGGACGCATTTGGATGATTTTTTACGTGGTAGAATTATCGGCCGTCTGGAATATGGGCGTACCCAACTGGAAGTATCAGACGAACTTGGAACTGCCCAGAGCGTCATCTCCAGGCTTTGGCAATGATTCCAAGATGATGGTAGCGTGAGTAGACATTACAGCACAGGTCGCCCCATAGTTACAACGGCGAATGAGGACCGGTATTTGGCAGTTACTGCCAAAAGAAACAGGCGGAACACAGCCTCAGACCTGTCTCGTCAGCTCTCATCAGCCACTGCTACGACAATTTAAAGGCAGACCATGTACAGACGCTTAGGGCAGATTGGTCTATACGCTCGTTGACCTGTCAGATGTGTTGCACTTACTGCAACTCACTGTCGCCTGCGGTTAGCCTGGAGTAGAGAGCATGCATTGTGGACACCGCAACAGTGGGCTGTGTGATGTCTTCCGACGAGTCCAGGTTTAGCTTGCAGTCTGATTCTCTCCGAACTTTCATATGGAGAGCTCCAGGTACCAGCTACCACCAAGAAAACATCATTGAATGACACTGTTACGGTGATGCAGGAGTGCTCGTTTGGGGTGGAATTATTCTGGGTTCCAGAACTGACCTGCATGTTCAAATTGGAACCATGACAAGCCAAATCTATCGGGACGTCATTCTGGAACAACATGTATGTTTGCTTCAGGGCACCATGGGTGCACAATTTGTGTTTATGGCTGACAACGCCCGTCCTCATCGTGCGAACATTGTAAGCGAATGCCTTCAGTCGGAGGATATCACCCGTATGGACTGGCCAGCATTCTCACCGGAACGTGTGGGACATGCTTGGCCGACGAGTTGCAGCCCATCAACCTCCTCCTACATGTCTACCGGAACTTCGGAGAGCATTGCTTTTTGAGTGGTGTAATATCCCCCAAGATCAGATCGATAATTTGATAATATTCAGCATGCCTAGGCGTTGTACGGACTGTATTGCATCGCCTGGGAGACATACAATGTATTAACAATCATACCTACCATGTAATATTGTTTTTTTGTAAATAGGTTTCTTTTGTAATTTGCTCCAGGGAGGAAAAAATCACTAATTTTTTTAATAATATCAAACATATAGCATCTTTTTTTGCTCTTTACCTTTTGTTTAATAAATAAGCTTTACAAATGAGTCAAATTTGTTTTGCTTCTAACTCTTCCTTTGCCTGATTTTTGCATTATCCTTAATTTATGGACATGAGTGGATTTGAAGATTTGACTTGACTAAAAGTGAATAAAGTAAATTAAAAAAGTAAATGTCAAATTTACTTAAGATGGTCCACAAAATAAAAATATTCAGTTATTTTTTTTTTCTAATGATCATTTAAAATTTTATATTACTCAAAACTGATTCCTGACGACAAACCACATCAATAAACTTCAGTATTAAATACAATGAAATTTGCATACATTAACAACTTGCGCTACGACTTAACTTCACGGTTGCAATGCCGTGTACTACAATATAACAAACGGTAAAGTGTCTCATTTACGCCGCAGTGCAATCTAGAGCTGTAACTCGAGAAATAAACAATCTCTTTGTTAGGCCACGTGTGCACCACGTTATTTTAATTTTTGTGCGCAGTTTGAGACAAAAGCATCTTGACGCGCGTGGCACGTCTTTTTAGCGCAAGTGGTTAAGAATATACTAATTAAAACATTTTATACAGGCTTTCAAATTTATGAACAGTTTCAAACAATCAATAAATTAAATTATAATCATAAATCATTACAGATAATGCAATAAAACAAACCTGATATATTTTTAGGACACTTGTATGATGTATGTTCTGTAGAGCCGCATTTAAAGCAAATTCCAGTTCCCTGATCTGATTCACCTAGTTTAACTGGACAGTCTGCAAACAGATGACCAGACTTTCTGCAGTTGAAGCAAATCTGAAGATATTTAAAAGCTATAATAATAGTTATATATTTATTTCACACCTTCAGTGATATTAATAAAATAAATTATACTACAGTACAAAGTCTGTAATCCGGACTCGTCGGGACTTTGGCGATTCCGGATTAGGGGTTTTTCCATATTATAGATCATAAATTTAAATCTGGTAAGATGGCATGCAGAAATTATACAATTAAAAATATGAAACCGTAATTTATGAAATAAAGAGGAATTATGATATAAAGGGTATCAAATTTTACAAAAAAAAAACTTAATATTTATTTGTTTACTTTATTAAACATTTCTTTTAATACGCACATGCGTAAAGTTTGTGGCTTTGAGGTCCAAATTACAGATCATTCCGGATAATGGACGTCCAGATTACAGACTTTGTACTGCACTTTAAATGAAAATAAAATTACTTATTTAACCATGTAATAGAAGTAATGCATAATTACTTCAATAAGTATGAGGTTCATCCAAAAAGTAAGTTTTCCATGCCCCATAAAAAGAAAACATTACCTAGAAAGATTTATTGCAAAAGATACAGCAATATTTCAGTTATTTCTCAACATGAAAGCCACCTAAATTGTACCACTTGTCATACCGCGGGATAAATTTTTGTATCCAGTTCATAAAAGTCTGCCGCCTGGGAATGCAGCCAGTGTGTCACAGTTGTCCGCACATCTTTGTCTGTAGGAAAGTTATGCCCGGGCAAGAAATATTTTTCAGGTGCAAAAACCAACAACACCAGCACTGAGCATCCCACGCCTCTTATTCTGAATGTTTCGTAGCAAGTTTTCTTGTGTTTCTCAATAACATTCAGCATTCACCATAGCCCCCCTCAGCAAAAATTCAACGATCAGAATGCCTTTCCTGTCCCAGAAGACTGTACATCAATTTCCAAGCGAATAGAGACTGCTTAATTTGGTCCGGCAAAAGATCTACTGTGGTACGAATGCATCAGCTGTTGCTTAGTTTCTGGACTAAAGTGAGCAACTTACGTCTCATCATCCATAATGATCTGTTCGGGTACTCATGGCCTTTATCATTGTATCACTGCAGAAAAGTCAGTGCTGCTCCCATGCATTTTATTTGTTGCTTGGATGTAAGGTTCTTTGGCACCAACCTGCACACAATTTCCGGAACAGGTGTTTCGTGATGATTTTATGCACCACAGTTTGTGATATCTGCGGAAATGGCTACTGAGTTCCATAAAGCAGTGATTCTGCAGAATGCACTGCCAAAACCTATTCCACAAGGCCATCATCAATGAGCCATAGCCGGTCGCAAAGCTGTTTGTATGGACATTTTGCCTACTTTCAGAAATATCTCGACACCAACGATGAACCATCTGCTTGCTCATAACATCCCGTCCATATGCTAAACACAACTGACAATGGAATTTGATTGTCATTAACTTCTGTGCATTCAAAAAATTTATCATGGACTCGCATCCCAGATGGTGGGAGAAGAAATAAGAGCAGATATCTTTGCATACTGCAACAATGTTACTGTATGTGATTGGGAAATTACAACTACCACGAATGATAGCCACACAATTTTGGTCCTTTTGTGTTTGGCTTGTGCCAAACACGAAAGATACAAGCATACAAGTCAAACACAAAAGGACCAAATTTGGCTTGGACCAATTTTGAAAAAGGACCAATTTTGGCTTGTGCCTACAATTTTGGTCTTTTTGCAATGCCATCTTTTTGGTGATGTGAACTTACTTTCAGCATGATCCTTACACAAATTAAGATTACTAAGTATAAATAATGAAAAATATTTAATTGATAACAAAGTGCATAAATACAGGAATATAACAGTGAAGTGTTATGTAACTGCCTGCAAACAAGTCACAAGTTAGTCCGTTGGCTGTAAGTGTCATATTTACAATTTATTATTTTGGATCTATACACATAACCATAAAGCAGCAATTCTGCTTTATGGTTATATGTTCTGTTTTATGGTATTCTGCTTTACAGTTAATCTGATTTCACTTAAGCAAAAAGTAAATACACAAAAAATTAAGTTTAAATATGCATAAGGGAGGGATTTCTCAGATGAAATTTTTCATCTTTGGTCTATGCTTTACAAACATTTATAAGAAAAAAAATACACCCACTCCCCCAAAAAACAAAGCCTTCATATTTACCTTAGAAATAGAAGTCTTTCTGAAATTCAGCTCTTCTTTACGTCTTTCTTTCCTTATAATTTCTTTTATCACTCCAGGAGGCATACCCTTTGCCCTTAAAGCTCTCTTTATATTATATAATTTACGTTCGATTTTTGCAGGAAGTAATAAAATACCATTTTTAGCTCTTTTTCTCTGAAGTTTTTCAAGATATGATTCTTTCATTTTTGTGAAACGTTTTTCTGGCACCTTTTTGGAGTTCACTTCCTCAGTAGACAAATCTTTACCATCTACAGAACTTTGACAAGAAGACTTGCTTTTTTTATTTTTTACTTTTTTAAATCCTTGTTTCAAGTTTGATTCACCAGCAACATCTGTTTTATTGTTGCTAACGGCATTACATTCTTCTTGATTTAAATCTTTTTCAATTTTCATACTCTCAGAAATCTTTTCCTTTACATTCTGGCTTGACGTCGAATCCTGATTTCTCATATTCATTAATTTTTTCCTTCTCTTTTCTTTTTTTAATTGTTTTTTCGATAACTGTGTCATCCCATCTGCAGATTTTATTCTGTGAATATTACTGTTTGCATCTTGCCTGTGTTTCCCTTGAGATATGGATTCTGGATTCTTTGTGTGAAAACAGCTATATGACCCATTCCTATCAGTTACCTTTTCTGTTTTAGTATCTCCACAATCTGATGCATTTTCTGCCATGTTGTTGTTCTTCAGTAATTTCTTTTGACTAATCCTATCCTTAATTTTTTCCTCCCTCATTGCTTTTTTAAACTCTTTTTTAGATGCAAATGCAACCCCATCAATAATTTTTAAATTGTTATATATTTTCTTATCATTGTTTTCTTCAGCATCTGATTCAGAATGTTTTACAGGAATGAAATCTGCAGAAAAATCATTTACATCATGTTTATTTTTCAACATCTTTTTCTTCTTCTTTGGTGAGAAATCAGACATATCTAATTCACGAGTTCTTTTAGAAGATTTACACATTATTTTATTATCATCATCTCCTTCAAGACGTTTTACAAAAGAATTCTGCACTGTAGCATTTGCAAATTCATTCTCGCTTTCATTTTGTTGCAAACTCATATGTTTGTTGCTGTCCTCAGAGGAAATATTTTCACGCTTCTTAATAAAACTTTCCATTTTTTTTTTCTTTTTAAAAGAATGCCCAGCATTCTGATGTATCTTCATTTGCTTTGAAAATTCCTCCCAAGGTGTTGCATCACCAGGCATTTTTTTATGTTTCTGTGTGCTTCCAGACCTTGCCCATCGAGTCATTTTCTGTTAAAGAAAGCTGTTAAAGAAAGATTTAAATTAATAAAAATTTAAGAGTAACATATGAGAATAGAAAATTTAAAATGATACATTTTTAAATGTGAAATTTCAAGCAAAATTTTTTGCTGATATAAAATTAGTATAAACCCAAATTATTTACATTTTATGATACATTACGTTAATGAATATAATGTTTCCACAGAAATTAAGTTTTGCAAATTAAAATGAATTTTGTATCTGATTTTAAACTGAAGGGGAAAAAATGAGCGTACACAGATCGTAACATCAATCTACCTCTTTAATGGGAGAGATTAACTTAGACATGGTTTCATATGGGAAAGAAAGTGAAGCAAAAAAAAAAAAAAAAAGGCTTCTATGTACATACGAAAGAGAGTTACATCATCACTGTGTGGATAAGCAAGAGTGTTAAAAAGACTGTTCTGTTATTGGGGGACCAGATTCAGAAATGTATGTGCATGTGTATGTACATGCATATATGTGTATATGTAAACACACATATACATTCATGCTTACATATATACATTTTGAACACATAAATCCATACATACATACATTTCTGAATCCAGTCGTGATCTCCTGTTTGCATCTGTCGACACCACCCATTGTACAGTTATAATCATAAATAACTTTTGGCTTTAGTTTTTCTTTCGCCCGCCCCGAATACACTGATACAGATGGTGCATCAAGAAAAAAATTAAGCATATTTACTATTTTAGCAACAGCTTCTTTTATTGTGGCTGTGAAGAAACCCTCTTCACTCTCTTACAGTGATATAAACCTGTAGCGGCATCTAGGTACAAAACGAAACATGAATATTACAATATTCTCAACCTACACGGAGAAAATTCGGGATCTGTATTGAAAATAAGAAAAATAAACTTACGGACGCTATCTTCACGCGACCCTTATTACAAGATGGATTTCATATCAAATGGAAATTTCAGGGGCCGTACGCGGAGAGTTAAACAATACATTTATGTTGTGTCATTATGTTAAGTTCATTTTTAGATTGGGAATGCATAATACATCATTAAGTATTACATGCTGTGAAGCAGAATTGACACTTTCATAAATTCAGATTTTCTTTTTGACTTCTACAAACTCATTAACTATTTCATTCACATTCATCTTTTTCAACATAAATTGCTTCAGAAGGCTTATTTAAGTTAAAGGCTGATGAATTTTGTTACAGTTACACATCACATAAGTTTGACATTTTTTAATCTGCACTATCTCACATGATTTCACACTCAGAGCAACAATTCCTAAAGCTTTTTGGTCTTTTAGTAGCCATTTTTCAAGTTCAGCTTAGCAAGTTTAAGAAGTATCCATCTTGATTAACTGCATGCTCGTGATTTCCCAAAGTTCTGGCTGAATTAAAACCATTTTCACGTGGAAGTGCCATCTTTCAAATTTAGTATTATCTAACTTCTCAGTTTGAATATTCAAGTTCATCATTTTCATTAATTACATACAACTTCGGTAAAGACATGGAATTCCTTGTACTTGCTTTGAAAGTACTTTTGCTTACCTTGTTTTCCACCAAAAAGCACAGACATTTGACTTATTCTTAGACCTACATCTCTAACTGTTCTTTTGCCTACCAAACGATCATATTTGATGTATGTAAAATATAAATTTTAATGGTTGCTTTCCTTAAACAACAAAAAAAAAAAAAAAAAAAAAAAAAAAAAAAGACAGATGAACAGGGCATGTCAATCTATGACATGTGAGGAAAACATAACATGGATAACAGCTGATTAACTTAACTGGTATAAACTGCTGCATTATGTCAGAAGAGTCTACTTGGCCATTACATTAGGTTGGTACATACTTGGCTGCAATAATTCTATGCCTAACTTCATAGTAAATGCTGTCTGGGACACTCTGTCAGATTTCTACTCCTTTTCTAGTCTTCAACAGCTATATTAAATGCCAAGGTTCCATGTTTCAAATTGCCACACCACACTGAAGAAAATCATGGCTACCAGCCAAGTCATAACAAGGAAGACACACATGCACAGATGACCACATCCAGAAGATACAGAGTTTTCACACATTTCTTGGCTACTACTAAGAGATTATATATTTTATCCTCTTCTGCACTGAGCCACCACAAGGAGGAATGCAAATTTCCCCCAAAAAAGCTCATATTTTTACACATAAATTAATATAATTATTAATAATGAGAAATAATATCAGCTGTACATAGCTTTATAAATTAATAGCATAAAAAACAGTAAAATATCTTGGCAGATTGTTTGGCATTAGCATATAGCACTTCAATCATTAAAATATAATCTCGCACACACACGTATACCAATGAACAAAAAGAAAAAATGCTCCTGTTGTTATAATTTCTTATATAAATACAAATAAACATTCAGAGTAAATATAACTGCAGGAATGGCACTTATATCTGAAATCTACATTTGCATTATTGCCATTTACATTCATCTATTTATTTTCTTTCACGCTGATTATTCATTCACATTATTATTATGATGGTATCTGGTAACATAAAAGTATATTAAAGTCATACCATACATTTTGGTACAATATTGATATATTTTGGCTCAATACTAAACTTCCTCTGCCATGAAAAAAAAACTTTTTTTTTTTTTTAAGCTTCTTCGTCTATTTACTAAATTTCTGTTAGTAATTTGTTTTCTTTGTTATCTGCTGGTTTCATACTTTAAGTCTCCAAAAGAAACATGGGAAGGGGGCACATGGCAAATGTATACACATGGCAATATTTACTATTGCCTTAATACTTCTTGATTACCTACATCTCCACTGAAAAATTGCAAACTTGTTGGATAGAAATGTTTCTTTATGTTTACTTCAGCAATACTTCCAGTGTCTTTTTCTTTTTTTTTTTTTAACATTCATTAAAAAAATAAAACATTAACCATTTTCAAGAAATTATGTGTTGTTTGTTATTTTTTCAACATACTTTCTAATGTTTGCTTACATCTTTTTTGACATTGTTTATTATGACTATAGAACGCCATCAGAGTTTAACTGTTTAATTAATTAAAATACACCTAAATTAATTTAAAATGCAATTTATATACGAGACCAAATTATTAAAAGAAGAAAAGAAATCACATATGTTGCTGAGCAATTTTAAATAAAATGTTTTGTAGCTGCTAAAATTTCAAACTTTGCTTTTTGAAAAAATGAATAAAATGACAAATTAATAGCATTGATATTAATTATAAATGTTTTAATATTGATTATAAATGTTTTAAAAAATATATTATAATTAATTCATCTGTTAAAATTGTTTTGAATGTGTTTTACGAAGATTTTAAATAAAAGTTTGTAATTTACGTTTATATTAATCAATTGAATAGCACTAGATTTTATTTTATATATATGTAATGAAATACAGTAATAAAATTTTTAAGAAATTTCAAATGATTTAATGACCATATAGACAGCTTATATTCTTTAAACTGTGTTTTCTCAGTTTGTATCTTTTTCGATAAATTATTTTATTTAAAGTCCTAAAACTTATACAGATATGGCCTAAATTATTTAAAATTTTTACGATTAAATTAAAATTATATACTTTATATAAATACGAATGGGTTTTGCAAAATACTGAAAGGAAAAATTATTTGAAGTGGAAATGTAACCGAGATCATATTTGTTTCACAGTTTTTGCATAAAAATGTGTTTTTATTTTTTCTCAGAAACTAATTCATTAATTTCAAAAATCGATCCTTAAAGTTATTAAGAACTTTCTAAAACCTTTAACGAATTTTTGATTAACAAATCAATGATCTGAAAGCGAGCACAAGACACAGTGTTCGGAATAAAATATTGTTATCTCCAGTGCGCGAGACTATCTGTTGGATAGTCTAAATATATGCTGCTTTTAAATATTTAATGATTTTTCTGATGAACTGAAGTTTATGTTTCATAAGTATGAAGAACATGATATCTAATAAATACATAAAGTTAATGCACAAAATGTTAAAAATAGAAAGACACAAAAAAAGTTTTGAAAAGTCATCTTATTAAGAAAATGGAATCTTGATATGATGAACTGAGAAAAAGACTGAAAATTTCTTTTTAAATACATGCCAATACTGAACACTGCATCAGGAATTCTAAACATATGCTGCTTTTAAAACTGTTTTAATTTTGTTGTTGAACTGTATATGGCATAAGTGCAAAGAAAATAGTGCTTAAAGCTAGCAAAAGCGAGGGCAACAGCAGATTGGTAGACAATGAGCAAGAGCATAAAAAAATTTTTAACAAATCCCTTTAGGTGATTGTTAAAAATCTGTGGCCTTTTTTTTGGGGGGGGGCGGGGGGGGGGGGGGCGGGGGATATTATTTAAAGTCTAACTAGTGGTAAGGAATAATGTTTTGCATTAACTTTATACCTAGCATAATACCTTGTATCTGCAGTAAGAATCAATGAAAAGTATTAACTCGTCTCAAACATGCAGAGATAAGTTTTAAGGGTGAATTGTTATCCCAAATAATTAAATTAAGAAGTTACCGTATTTGCCAGCGTATGGTATGCACTTTTTCTTTTGAAAATAGGTCTGAAAAATGGGGTGCGTCTCTTATATGGCGATATTTCATTTTTGGAAATTTCCTCTATTTGGAGTTATGCAATTTTTTTTTTTGTTTTGTTGTTGTTTCTTTGTGGAGTGTGTGAATATTACAGTTACGTAGAGTTCAGTGAATGCACATGTGCTGTCATCGACGATCACAGGTGGGTTTGTTTAAACATTACAATTTTTGTGAACGACTTCCAAGAGTGTGAAAATTCTACTTTTCAATTTTCTTAAATTTTATGGCAAGTTATGGCTCAAAACCAATGTCAATATTGCTATAATATAGCATTCAAGCTGTGTGTGATTGTGTATGCTAATGAAAATGGAAACATTGGATGGCACAGAGAACAATTTGTTGTATGAGGTCTCACACGCTGATTTAGAAGAGGTTTTAAGTGGCTCTTCATTTAGCTCTGGAG